ATTTTTCATGATATTTCCCCTTTAAATATGTATCTAATTTGTACCTCATGAAAATTCTGGAATCCCCCCGCCAGAAAAGTATTAAACAGGCTCAAACCATGACACGTCATTTGAGCCTCATGATTAGACACATTTTAGATGACGTGCTTACATCGTAACACATCCGTTGTAGATGAAAATAGAAAAATGTTGACAAGGTTTAACCTTGTAAAGAACTGAGTTGTGACAAGTGAACGAAGCATGTGAGACAAACCACTGGGTGATTGCTCTCCTTGAGTGCAGTTCAGTCTCAGAGGCTTTGTCGTCCCCACTGGGCTTGAAAAGCCTCGAGAGCTGTTTCTCATTTAAAGAGAGCTCATGCTGACAAACTGCAGCAAACAACACATATATTTTTATAAGCTCTGGGGAAAATCCCATATAGTGGCAAGCTGTGTGTAATTATTTATGGTTCCATTCGAAAAAAATCTCTGCCATAAACACACCAATCTTTCTGCTGAATATGACCGAGTTTGTTTGTTTTTTTTCCCTCTGTGGACCACGACCCCCCACCTAAAACCCAAACTTTTGCTCATTTCAGTAGAACGATCAGATCAGTACTGAAAGGATAATTCATGTTTTGTTTTTTTTTTTTGTGGTCAGTTTTGAGCTTGAACACAGTTATCCAATGTGTGATTTTTTCATGTTTTTATGATGGCCATTGCCATTAAAGTAGAGACATTTCATGCTGTTGAAGCCTTCTTTTAAATTGTTCATTTTAGGTCTTTATATAGTGGAACTGCAATACTTTGGTTGAATTCCTCCTTATTGTAACTCCACAAGCCCCTCTTTCACACCAAGTGTTTCATTTTAAGGCTGTCTCTTTAAATTTGACAAGGCGCTTCACACACCAACCTTCTCCAGCTTCCAGACAGGTTCATTCTCATTTGAAATAGAGGTTTATGACTATATAGCAGCACAGAAACATTTATTTACAAATTAAGTTAGTGTAGACTGTATGATACTATATGTGGTCACACTGAGCAGATGTTCTGTCAATAAGTTTATTGCACTAGACAAACTAAAATAAATTTATGAATAAACTTGTTGACTCTAGTGACTAGAGTGTGACCTGTTGTATTTCATGAGTTCTTTGGTGATAGTGGGTGTGGTTCACAGAGAGGATAGACAAAGACAAAGAAAAGGTAAAATGAGAGACGTGTAGAAGTGATTCAGCATTGTTCTAATGGTGCTTTTTAATTCTTTTGATGGCTTTTTATAATGAGTCCTACTATCCAGAGGCCGCAGAGGGGTATTGGTAGCTAAGCAAACTGAGGCAAAGGCTCAGATGTAGGTGGAATATGGTGAGGCCTTGGAAAGAGACTGTCAATCAGCTCTAAGAAGATCCTGGAAAACCATCAGGTCAGCTGAGGCATGGAAAGCAGCACTTTACCAATACTGTGTGTAGCAGAGGTGGGTTTCTAAAGAAAAAAGAGGTGGAAAGAATACTCTGAGGACCTTCTCAGTCCCACCAGCTAATCTTCCGTAGTGGAAGCTAAGTCTGGGCACTTAAGGTGGATCTGACCATAACTGGGGCTGAATTTGTCAAGGTATATAAAAAGATCTGTAGCAGCACGGCTCAGAGGGTCAATGATATCTACCCTGCCTCTGAATGTTGCTGGGTTGTCTTGGTTTACGCGTCTTTGCAGCATCCCTTGGACAGTGGGGGCAGACTGAGGTGGTGGTTTACCTTTTCAAGGAGGAGGTGTGTTTCTATTGCAGGAGGATCACACTCCTCAACCTCCCTGGTAAGGTCTATTTAAGGTCTATTTTTAGGTCTATTTGGGGCAGTTGTGGCAGAGTAGTTAGGGGAGTCGTCCTGGAACCGGAAGGTCGTTGGTTCGATCCCCCGTCTAGCTGTCTCAGTTGTTGTGTCCTTGGGCAAGATACTTCACCCCAATGCCTCTGATGTGTGTCCCATCAGTGTATGAATGTGATTGGCACTGATTAGTCTCATTGTACTGTTAGCTTTGTAGGAGATCTGGTAGAGTGCTGTGTGAATGGGTAAATGAGGACACAGAATGTAGTGTGAAGAGGTTTGAGTATCCTGGTTGGATAGAAAGGTGCTATACAACTACAGTCCATTTACCATTACCATTTATTTAAGGCTGCTGGAGAAAAGAGTATCTCTATATAAGTATTATATTTAGTTTAAACACGGATAGCAGTAGTTTTCAAGTTTAGTTTGGAAAAAAGACTTTTTTAAATATCTTTACTTCAGCATACAGCCACAAACAAGATAACTTCATTAGATGGAGTGACACCAGTACAAGTTAGAACAGGCTGTACGTGAGTGGAACTACATTATACAGTACATTCCTACATGGATGTACTGTAAGTCAATCCATCTTTCTCTGTCTTGTCAGCTACATACAGTATGTAAAGTTCAAACACAGTGTTCCCTTACTGGACTTTCTTGCAAAGGTAAATACAGTGGTTTGCAAAAGTATTCATACCCCTTGAACTTTTCCATATTTTGTCACATTACAACCACAAACATAAATATATTTCACTGGAATTTAATGTGAAAGACCAACACAAAGTGGTATACAATTGTGAAGTGGAAGCAAAATTTTACATGAATCAAAACATTTTTTACAAATAAAAAACTGAAAAGTGCGACGTGCAAAAGTATTCAGCCCCCTTTTCCCTGAGTGCAACCAATTGCATTCAGAAGTTGCCTGATGACTGCTAATGACTCAAAAGGGTCCACCTGTGTGTAATCTAATCTCAGTACAAATACAGCTGCTCCGTGACGGCCTCAGATGTTGGTTAAGAGAATATTGGGGAGCAAACAGCATCATGAAGTCCAAAGAACACACCAGACAGGTTAGGAATATGGTTTTGGAGAAGTTTAAAGCAGGCTTAGGTTATAAAAAGATTTCCCAAGCTTTGAACATCTCACGGAGCACTGTTCAATCCATCATCCGGAAATGGAAAGAGTATGGCACCACAGTAAACCTGCCAAGACAAGGCCGTCCACCTAAACTTACAGGCCGAACAAGGAGATCACTGATCAGAGAGGCAGCCAAGAGGCCCATGGTGACTCTGGATGAAATGCAGAGAGCCACAGCTCAGGTGGGGGAAACTGTCCACAGGACAACAATTAGTCGTGCACTACACAAATGTGGTCTTTATGGAAGAGTGGCAAGGAGAAAGCCATTGTTAAAAGAAAACCATAAGAAGTCCCGTTTGCAGTTTGCCAGAAGCCATGTTGAGGACACAGCAAACATGTGGAAGAAGGTGCTTTGGTCAGACGAGACCAAAATTGAACTTTTTGGCCACAATGCAAAACGCTATGTGTGGCGGAGAAAGAACACTGCACATCACTCTGAAAACACCATCCCCACTGTCAAATATGGTGGTGGCAGCATCATGCTCTGGGGGTGCTTCTCTTCAGCAGGGACCGGGAAGTTGGTCAAAGTTGATGGGAAGATGGATGGAGCCAAATACAGGGCAATCTTGGAAGAAAACCTGTTGGAGTCAGCAAAAGATTTGAGACTGGGGCGGAGGTTCACCTTCCAGCAGGACAACGACCCTAAACATAAAGCCAAAGCTACAATGGAGTGGTTTAAAAAAAGAATATTCATGTGTTAGAATGGCCCAGTCAAAGTCCAGACCTAAACCCAATTGAGAATTTGTGGCAAGATCTCAAAACTGCTGTTCACAAACGCTCTCCATCCAATCTGACTGAGCTTGAGCTGTTTTGCAAGGAGGAATGGGCAAGAATTGCAGTCACTAGATGTGCAAAGCTGGTGGAGACATACCCTAAAAGACTTGCAGCTGTAATTGCAGCAAAAGGTGGCTCCACAAAGTATTGACTCAGGGGGGCTGAATAATTTTGCACATTGCACTTTTCAGTTTTTTAATTGTAAAAAATGTTTTGATTCATGTAAAATTTTGCTTCCACTTCACAATTGTATACCACTTTGTGTTGGTCTTTCACATTAAATTCCAGTGAAATATATTTATGTTTGTGGTTGTAATGTGACAAAATATGGAAAAGTTCAAGGGGTATGAATACTTTTGCAAACCACTGTATGTTTCAAAATGCAACAACATATAAAACCGCAATTCCAATGAATTGGGACGTTGGTTCAAAATGAGTGAATATTTAAAAAAAAAAACCAATAACGTTTGTATGTTTAAACATTAAATATCTTGTCTTTGTAGTGTATTCAATTGAATATAGGTTGAAAAAATTTGCAAATCATCGTATTCTGATGTTTTACACAACTTCATTGGAATTGGGGTTGTAGATTTGGTGTGAGCACTTTTCAAATACAAGGATAGAACTTCTGCAATAAGATTTTGAACTTGTATTTATAAATTTGTACATGTATAAAAAAACACTTTGGTTTGTTTGGTTACCTGCACAGCATGTTGCCACCATGAACAGAATAACTGTCTACAATCTGATCCTCTTTCCTTTTCACTCCTTTCTTTTGGTTCCCTGTTAGGGGCAGGACGCAGAGGCATCAGAGTAGTAGGAAGGAGTGGAGCTTTTCTTGGCACAAAGGGTAGAGGCCTATCTAACCACATTACTTTTCCTCCAGATTTTTTTTTTCAAACTTGAGCTTGGCACCGATAGTGACGATGAGATCAAATTTACTCTCTGAATCCCAGAGAGAGATAATGTTATTTAAGCAGAATTGGCTTTTATTAGTGTACATGAAAGAACCATRCTGTGTCCTGTGAGATGCTGTCTGTATTTTTAAAGTTGTGTGATGAAGTAAGATTGTATTCATTCAGAGTGGGAACAGGTGAGAGCAACAAGCCGACAGAGAAATTTCTTTCCTGCGCACGTTTCATTCTGCTCAACTTAGACCTGTTGTTTGTATTTTAAGGACACTTGATTGTAATTTTTAATATGACAAAACTTTTTTCATTTTCAGTTTGTTGTGATTTTCATTTTTAAAATGAGTGCTGTGTTGAATGAACATGTCGCTGTTTTTAATCTGCAGGTTTGTTACTAACCAAAGGGGATGATGCTCTCCTGATTACCGTTTATATCGCCCACATTTTGGTCATYGGCTGACGCAACCGTCATGAATCACACTCCCAGTCCACACCTGTCTGAAGATGGGAAGAACACTGGAGGAAGCCTGTTGTGCAGCTTTGGTCTGGGGTCCGACAGGGGCATTCGCTCCCCAGATAGCCTCGCCCACACGCCCAGTCCTACTCGAGAAACACCTAGTTCCAGCCCCCCTTTGCTGCTGTCACCTGGGCTGGGAGGCCTCGGGTTCGGCTCTCTGTGTGACGGAGCTGGAGCTGACTGGGAGAGCAGGGAGGAGTTGAGGCTCAGGGAATTAGAGGAAGCTCGAGCAAGAGCAGCGCAGATGGAAAAGACCATGAGGTGGTGGTCCGACTGCACGGCCAACTGGAGAGAGAAGTGGAGTAAGGTGAGTTAAGTATATACTGAAWAGCTCCATTGTTTTAAAGTTTCATTCATACCATCTGCTTCAGGAAAATCACTTAATTAAATAATCTCTTAGTTCTAAATTAAGGCAGCTTATTCATGACTTCAAGGTTCAGGAAACCGTTCGGCTCCCAGCTGATCAATCCGTTTTCTTCGTTCCCCCCAGGTTCGTGCAGAGCGTAACAGAGCGCGAGACGAGATTCGTCAGCTGAGGCAGCGGTTGGACACGCTCACCAAAGAGCTGACCGGTGTTCGACGGGAGCGGCAGGAGCTCGCCTCGGAGAAYGAAACGCTGCGGCAGGAGACGCTGCGCCTGCAGGGCGATCCTGCAGCTCACCCCACCGCCGCCGCCGCCGCCTCTACCTCCACCACGCCCACTCATGGCACTTCCTCTTCCTCCCCTTCATCTGTTCCTCCTTCCTCATCTGCGTCGTCCCTCTCTTCCTCTAAGGACCACACGGACTGCAAGCCCAGCCAGGTTGGGGAAGGTACGCTTGGATCTCCAGAACCAGAACCGGTGAGGGATGTGGACTTGAACAACCAAAAGCAAAAGGTTAGCGCCCGGTGTTACTTACAAGTTTGATTCTGCCTCGGACGGGTCTGTGGCTTTTCTCCCCACTATATTGAAATAGTCATGATGAAATTTTATTTCTTAGTTGATAATCTTACTTGGTTTTTGAGCAAAAAGAAAACATCTAAATTTTGGATTTTAAGGAAAAGATTGTGTTGAAATTGTTTCAACTACATCTGCCCTTTGTTACTACTCCTAAATCATTGACATGTTTCTTTTTTCTTTGAATTTTTTGGATTTGAGGTTTTATTCCAGTCTTCACTCAAAAATTGGATCAGCTACTCCCAGATTAAAAATATCTCCTATCAGCATAAATACTCATAACAGATGTTAAAGAATGCCAGCAAAAATAACTTGAGTAGCACACTATCCAAATCTGTGTGGAGAAAAAAAATACTGAAAATCAGTGTTTTATTGGAGAAAAGCCCAGTAGAAGATCTCATAAAAGTTCCAACATGTCCAGAGAAACTCCAACTGGCTGCCACGCACCATCCCAGAGTTCTTCATTTATTTTCCCACGCACTTTTTGTGCAACTAAACAAACATAAATAACCACTACAAGAAAGTTTAAACAAAGTAGCATCAAAATACTGTTTTAATATTGTTTTTTCCTAGTAGAGTTTTAGATACTTTTAGATACAAGCTGAGCTGTAGTGATTGTGCTTCGTAGTACGAAATAGAAGCTAATGTAGATATGAGATGCTAGCCAACATGAGGCTCTTCTTTGCACAAAGTAAGAAAATAAAAACATCTCACTGATGGAAATAATTGTCAAAGAGCACATGTGCAGTAACAAAGACCATGCAGGTGAGTGGAGAAAACGTATTTACATTTACAATACAGCGTATTTACATTTCTGTGCCCTGCACTACAAAGCAAGGTTTAGTGGAGGAGAAGTGTCTTCAGGTTCAGTTTGGGATTTTCACTGTCACAAAACTGGTTTACTTTTCACCACTTTCTACTCGAGTCTGTTATTAACTTTTGCTGGGAACCTAACCTGCTTCAATACAGATTGTTTCTGGATGAAAAGATCACACGTCAATGCTCTGCCTCTCAACCAATCAGCTTCCTTAAAAGAAATATAAAAAAAAAAAAACATTGCCCGTCCCTTTTCTAGAGAAACCCAGGATAACTTTACTTCCTTCGTAGTATTGGATCCTGGAGTTAAATGGAAAATAAAATAATCAAAGCCCAAATCTAACCAGAGCAGGTGACAAAAACTGATCTGAAACCAAAAGATTTCAACCAAAATTCAGACCGTGACACCATGGATATCAGAATCAGCAGTCTTTTACTTGTTTCTCTGTTTTGTTAACATAATGTTCGTTTCATTAGAATGTGTTTAATGCTGCTGCTTTTATCCACACTAGATAGCATTTAATTTGCAGATTGAACTGGTTTTCTTTACTTTAAGGACAGGCTCTGCATAGATCCTTTCATGTAGCTTTAAAATAAACCTAATGTGAACATTACAGAATGTAGGTCACAATGGCTGCTGTCTCTCACAAGATAATAGCCGATGTGAGAGAGTAAGCTCTGCAAATGTTTGGGTCAAGGTGTGTGAGTGTGTGTGTGTGTGTGTGTGTGTGTGTGTGTGTGTGTG